AAAAGAGGATTTTCTAAAACAAAGAGAGGTGGAACTTTTTTGGTGGGTAGAAGGACATATCATTTTGAATAACTAATCCCACATTAGATACTGGGTGAATTGTTAATTACTAGCGGGAGAGTTTCCTAAAATTGTCAGTGTAAACACAGTCTAGAAGACCATCTTTCTCAATCTTTTCCTGTTTTATTAGGTACTCAAGTACAATTGTACTTTAGATAAGTAAAAGAAATCTTGAGAGGCATATTAAAAAAACCTCAGCTGGGCAATGCCTTTAGCATATTGTTGATCCTTTTTCAATAATAACAATATCTGCTTTTTCATGAACAGATGGTTAATTTGCTATAAGACTACCCAGAAATACTGAATATATTTTTAAAGTTACAGAGAAAAAGATACTTGGGTCATGCCTTGCCCCCTTCCCTCCCCAGGGCCAGACCACACGTCCCTTTCTCCTGGCAGGGCCAGGCCATGCCCCCTTCCTTCGCACTGGGGCTGGGCCATGCCCCCTTCCCCTGTTGCCAGGGCTGGGCCATCCCCCTTTCCTCTCCATAGGCTGGTTGGAGCTCCTTTCCTCTGCGGGGCTGAGTTCGGGCTAGCCTGTCCTCTCTTGCCACAACCTCTATGCAGCCAGATGGTGCCTGCTGTGCCTGCATTAAATTGGGAGCACTGGCTGAATCTGGCCCATTGACAGACTGGGCACTGGCAATCCATCCCACTAGTCAAAAGTTTGGACACCAGTGGGTTAGGCAGTGGATTTATATAGGATGGCTTGGTTAGATATGACCCAGCCTCAGGCAGGTGGTTGGACTAGATGATCTCTGAATTTCCCTTCTAGCCCTACCTTTCTACGATTCTAGGATTCTGTGATTCTAAGTATATCCACAGAGTACCTGCACACAACTTTATATGTGCCAAGTAGACATCATAATCTGAAAATCATGCCACAAAAATCTGTTATAATCTGTTTTGCTCTTAAATTAATTTTCCCTCCTTCAATTTTTCTCTTCTCTTTTTGTTCTCACTCAGTCTGAGTGAGTCTCTTCTTTGACCTCACACTTTCTTTCATCTTCCATACACTATTTTACGACTCTTTTGCTATGCTGAATATATCTCCAATATATGCCTCTTTTTCTCTCCTTTCACTTGAGTTTAAGATTATCAGAGGAAGGAGGAAAGTTCAGTTTGTTCATTTTTATACCATTCCTAATTATTTTGTTACAAATTCAGTTTCTATGACTTTTAGTATGTATTAGCTGTAGGTGATTTAACATACCAAAAATATGATAAATTGTTTTTTATGGAATATAAGAAGCCTGGAAATAAAAGGATAGCATGTGTACATAACAGAAAAGCTTATGCCCAAATTCCAGCTGGGCATAATCACCTTATTTTAATTGCCTTTGTTGCATTTTTCATGATTTTCACCTATAACATCATGTTACTGATGCAGTTAAACAGCTGCTGTAATTCATTAGAGGTTGATGTGTGCCCCGGGTATAGTTTATTATAAGTAGAACAGAATAAAATGTAACATATAAACACAAATTTTTTTATTAAAATGTTCGTATCCTGACTAAAAATGACATTAGCATTTGCAGAAAAAAAAGGCTGGAGAAAAAAAATAGTTTCTTCACAATCCTCAAAAAATGTATGTTTGTTATCTCATTTATTTATTTATTTTTGTAATGAGAAATTGTCATACAGTTTTCATCTTTAATTTTTAAAGAACTGCAGGGCATACTGAAGAAGTCAGAGCTGAAAAGTTCCTTATGTCTGAAGAGGTTCTGAGTTCTGTGATGGGCAAGAGGGAAAAATGGGTAATTAAGCAGAGCTATATTACTGTCTCCAGTACTTTGTGGGTGGATCTACATGAGACACTAAGGCGCAGTGGCAACAAGTTACTGTGCCGTAACTCATTGGTACCGCGCAGTAGTGTTCCTGGGCACTAACCATGCAGTGCTGCTACTGTGCAATAGTAACAAGCTACTGCACAGCAGCTCATTGCTATAGCACAGTTGCATCAGGAAAAAGTCATGTGGCGATATTACTGTGCAGTAATGCCAGTTACTGCACAGTCATTTAATACTTGCATAAGTGAGTACTAAATGACTGTGCAGTAGCAACTGCACAGTCCACCACATGTGTAGATGTGGCCACTGTTTTAAGAAAGTTTCCAGTGCCTTTCCTGTAGTAAAAGTGGGAAGCTGACCCTCTCAAGATTCAGCTCCTTATTCATCTTTGAGTTTGGACTCCTGCCTTAGGAAGACTTATTTTCTCATTATATAAAAAAACACTGCCAAACTTATTATCTTGATGAGATGTTGGCTCTGCATCTTGTATTAATGGATCATCAATACAGAAAAAAAAATTTAAACCACCAGCCTCTTACATTTTCAAAATATAATGCATTAATTTTATTACTTTAAACTTCCGTTTCTCTGGATTCATCAGGTTCCTGTAACTCATAGGTACCCAGTTAGGAAGCTAATACATTTTAATTGCTCCATTATACTGTTGTGTCTTCAGCATTCACATTCAGTCACCAGTCACTGTTTCTTCAAGAGCTGGTTCCAAACTGTAACTCTGTGTTTTGGTACACCCTCTCCTAATTCTGCACCTCCTGGCTCAAATTGAAATCTGCATTGGGCTCAAACTGGAATTCTGAACCTGAGTTATTGTAGGTCCACTGATAGTTGCTTCTGGTTTTTATGTTATCAACTTTAGTTTAGCACTGTTCTCATTTGCTATGAGAACTACCCTCAAAAGGCTGTAAGCAAATAGGGCCAATGCATAGGGCTATTGTGTATGGTAGACTTAGCAATTGTGTTCTGATCCTTGAGGTTCATGGTCTACAAACTTAAATCTTTTAGCAAACAAAACTGGCTTTGGTTTTGGACACGGTTGTTTTCTCCTCTTGCTGGAGAAGGACAGTCTAAATGTCTTGGCTGCCTGTGGGACAGAAATTCACTGTGCAAGGGAAGGGCACCCCATCTAAGAAAGATCAAGACTGTTGATAGCTCTGTCCTATGTTAGAGATTGTGCAGAGTTGGGATATATTAAAATTTGCTGTAGCGCTGCATAGGAGACAAGGAATGCTTCAGAAGGAGCATTCTGAATCAATACATTCTCAGTACATTCCTTCCTGGACAGACCCATTTAGTTGTCAGGCTAAATTGGTGCTTGGCAGAAGCAGAGGATGTGAGTTGTCATTGTTCTCCACTACTGCTACCTCTAATAATAGATTCTCCATCACTAGTAGCCATGAATCCCAGTATATGCTGGAGGAATCTTTGTGGATATACTAAGTAATGCTGAAGCTGCACTAAAAGTATGAGCTTGTATTAAACTGAGAGACAAAGGGCCAAATTTATATGCTTCCAGTAAACCTAAATGGGCTGTAGGCGGATTTTAGACACACAGCTCACAAAAAGTAATCCAAATTGGCTTGACTCCAGTGGTTGAAGAACTTCTTAGGCACTTAAAAATCAAAAGTGCCTCTATTTTGCTCCTACAAAGGGATTCCTGTCATAGTAATGGTGGTGCCCAGTGGTGTAACTTAGGGAGGGGTGACCAGGGCAGCTGTCCCAGCCCAACTTGGGGGAAAAGAGCAGGTGTAAAAAAAAATGACTGCTGCTATAGCCACATGATCACAGAGGCAGTATAGCAGCAACCAGGAGTTGCCACTGCCTGCATGTGGCAGCTGCCCTGGGCACCTGGCTGTGTTGTTATGCTTCTGGTTGTGCCCACATTTTGCACAATAGCATAGCAGCTAGAGCACTCACTCAAGAAGTGGGAGACCCAGATTCATTATCCTCCTTTGCCTGAGAGGATGTTTTAGCTTATAATTAAGTGGCCCAGCAGGCAGTTCTAGAAGCCAGAGTTTTCCAGGATCATATCTTCTTTCTAAGCACATCTCCTGCTCTAGAGGAGTGGGTATAGAGAACATATCTTAGAAGCTGTTAATATTCTGTCTATTCCATCCAAGGGTTCACCAGGCACAGAAAATCCCTGGGTGTAGAGTAGTTCAAAGCAAATAGAGCACAAAGCAGGATCTGACCCATTTTTCATTATTCTATAGTCAGTGTTATCTACTCAGGCGGCATAAATGACTATGAGTGACTCTGGTGACCCATCCTTCTTGGAGTATAGCAAACAGTCCAAGCAAACCATTTGCAAACAACCCAGCAGGTTAAAATTAGTCAATCAAATGATTTAGTCAATACTTGTGAATATATGATACACCCACAGACATTAGGACTGCTTTGCACATTTGAACAAAAAAAAGGGCTAAACCTATGAGAGAACTTATTTCCATCAAATTATTCCACCAGCTCTAGTTTTAACATTTATTTTTATTTTTTTTCCTTACTGAAAAGGAACCAGTTTTGGGAACTGCTGGTTTCTGATTCCCTCTTTGGTTTTAGTCACTTAAGTTAGTCTAGACTACCATCCTGGGGTATCATTGAGGGTCATACAACTTTTCTTGTGCAAACTTGAAGCCAGTATGTTTGGATACCAGCACTGGTGTAGCCACATGAACCCAACTATGACTGTGCATAAGGATAGTGTCACTGCAGCTATATTGCTGTACAACTGTGTAAACCAGACTAAAGCTAACTCCGATATGTGTATGCAAGCTACAGTCATACTTCTGGATTGTAGTCTAAACTCTGAATGAAATCCTGACACCACTCAGGGTAATAGCAAAGCTTTCATTGACTTAAGTGATACCAGATATTGTCATCTGCCTCATTTTTCCCCATTTGAAAAATGAGGTATGGTGCTTACCTTTAGGACTGTTGTAAGGATTCTGTATTTGCTGTTTGTGAAATGTTCTTATATGAAAAATGCAGTCAACTATAGTAGCTATATTATTTTGCCTTGCATGGAATTTCTGTTATGTCTCCAGCTCAATATCTATGAAAGTGCTGTTTTAAAAAATGAGGCTGAGTTAGATACATCTGAAGTGACATTTTCAATGTAATTCTTTTTTTATATAGCAGTCATTGAAAAGAAGAGGGAGCAAAGACTTGCAGAAATCAGAAAAAAAGTCACAACAGACACCCACAGAGGTATGGTGAATGATACCTCAACTTATGCCTTCCTTGAATCTAAGTCAATTAAGATGACTTGAGTACCTGGCCCTATAGTGTTTGTGGTGGTATATTTTATTATATCATATTGCTGAAAGGTGTATGGGAAACTTGGGCCCAAATCTGCAGTTTTAACATTAATTCAGTCCTATAGTGAAAGCCATACAAATTGGGCCTGTCCATGGTGCCTCATGGTCTCAGGGGTCCAGGTTGTAGAATCAGGGTGAAAAACAAAACTCCCATTAAGTAAATGAGCATTTTACCTAGTTCAGGATTTTTGTGTGCTGCTTTGAGCGTTTTTGGGTCGCAAGTAGCTTTAATTTTATTTATTCAGCTTTTGGATATAGAATTTTAAAATGTATAATCTCACTCTTCAATTTCCACCCCTTATTTTACTAAAAAATCTCATTCTTTCATACCAGACTTTCACACATATTTAGGGATATTCATATCAAAGAAAGTAGATATATATTTTTAAATATAATCTCACTCCTTAGGAGTAGAACAGTATTAACAATAGTAATCTTTTAGCATCTGAAATTTTGATCACTTTTATTGTTAAACTTAAAAATTTTATTTGACTTCTTAATGTAAAAGTCATTTGTGATGTCAGATTATTATTTCTTTACTGACATCAAGTGAATGCTAAATCTTTCATTTCTTTTCATAAGGAGGACAATGAAGATCTGAAATGCCAGTTGCAGTTTGTCAAAGAAGAAGCTGCCTTGATGAGGAAAAAAATGGCTAAAATTGATAAGGAGAAAGACAGATTTGAACATGAACTGCAAAAATATAGATCATTTTATGGGGATCTAGACAGCCCCTTACCAAAAGGAGAAGCAGGTGGACCCCCAACCACCAGAGAAGCAGAACTCAAACTTCGATTGAGACTAGTAGAGGAAGAAGCCAACATCCTTGGAAGAAAAATAGTGGAACTAGAAGTAGAAAACAGAGGACTGAAAGCAGAGCTTGATGATTTAAGGGGAGATGATTTCTCAGGGACAGCAAACCCGCTCATGGGGGAGCAGAGTGAATCCCTCTCAGAGTTACGGCAGCATTTGCAGCTAGTTGAAGATGAAACAGAATTGCTGCGAAGAAACTTGGCTGACCTGGAGGAGCACAACAAACGCGTCACAGCTGAGCTAAACAAGTACAAGTATAAGTCTGGTGCCCATGAGAGTTCAAGGCATCACGATAATGCCAAGACAGAAGCACTGCAGGAAGAGCTAAAAGCTGCCCGGATGCAAATCAATGAGCTTAGTGGCAAAGTCATGCAACTTCAGTATGAGAACAGGGTATTAATGTCCAACATGCAACGCTATGATTTGGCCTCTCACCTTGGGATCCGAGGCAGCCCCAGAGACAGTGATGCTGAAAGTGATGCGGGAAAAAAAGAAAGCGATGATGATTCCCGCCCTCCTCACCGAAAGAGGGAAGGGCCCATTGGGGGAGAAAGTGACTCTGAGGAGGTACGCAACATCCGGTGCCTGACTCCTACAAGGTCTTTTTATCCAACCCCAACAGGGTGGCAGAAAAACTTCACTGATCGGCAGCAGATGAAGGACATCCGCTCAGAAGCTGAGCGACTAGGAAAGACAATAGATCGTCTGATTTCTGACACAAGTACCATTATAACAGAGGCAAGAATTTATGTGGCCAATGGAGATCTGTTCGGACTGGTGGATGAAGAAGATGATGGCAGCAGAATACGGGAGCATGAGCTTCTTTATCGGATCAATGCACAGATGAAGGCATTTAGGAAAGAACTCCAGACTTTCATCGACAGACTAGAAGTTCCAAAGTCATCAGATGACCGAAGTTCAGACGAACCTTTGTCAGTGAGTCAGGTAGACTTTTACTTATTATGGCCTACAGGTAAAAAGGGACTGCCAAACAATTTCAACCCAAAATTTCACCTATGGCACCTTAAATTTACGATAGTATTATGGGCAAAGTCTCTTGTTTCTAAATATCTGTGGTTTAATTTTAAATCTCCCAGTCCACCACAAGGGACCTCACTCTACAAATGGAGTCATTTGGGCTACTCATGTGAGTAATGGCTATTTTATGTGATTGTAGGATTGGTTTTACATTAAAAAAATATAACTGAAGATACTATTGCTGTAGAAGGGCGTGTTTACATATGCAATTAATGTGAATCAGTGAACTCCTGAATTTATTGCTCTCAAGATTATTGGTCGTGGGTGTGCCATTTGAATGTGCTCCTGGGAGTAATAAATTCTAGGGCAATAAACTGTGGAGTTTACTGCCATTTGAATGCATGCCCAGAAGTACAACACACTGAGCTGGGATGGAGCAACCTCAGGTGGCAGGGAACCCAAGGGGTCAGCCTGCCAGCTCAGAGATGCTCCCCCCTGGCTCAATGTGTTGTGGAAGGGCTGGCGGGGGCATGAGGGTACTTTAATGTAGCCAGCAGACAGCTCCCACCAGCTAGCCTGCTAGCTAGCAGGCAACCTCCGCACTGAAGCACACTCATGTCCCAGCTACCCAGGGCAGCATCTACATGCGCCCTGTGGTGGAGCTTTTTAGTAAATTAGTTTACTCCAGCCTAATAAGGGTATATATGTAGGTGCCAAGATGTTTACTAAGCAGTTAATTAGTCAACTGTGCAGTAAAGATGCACCCAGAAACAGCAAATTTGTCTCCTTTGGCAATTTTTTTTGGCTTGTACAAGCACTTGCCAGAGTTGCACCATCATCACTAGTAAGGACATGGAGCAAATATTCTTTTGTGTTAGAGGACAGTATTTAATAATAGTGCCATTTGTCTAATGAAAGATATCACATCTGCCCAGAGAACCTTGCCTGCTGATGATAAGAAAAACATCCATTTTAGTATCAGCTCCTACTGAAAAACAGGAAGAAACCGTCAAGAAAAGAAGCAAATGGAGACATTACCAGGGGAGAAAAGTTTATTGCCACAATTATAAGAGTGTATATCAAACAACAGGGATTAATTAACATGAAAAATTACTTTCCAGATGCACAGAAGGGTATTGTAGGAGATGAACAGAGATGTTTTGATAATAGCTTAGCCCATTAGTTCATCAAGTGTAATTTGCATCTATTAATGGCCAATTCCTACTCAACAATAGAAGAACAAAACCAGTGCAACCAAAATCCTGCATATTACATACAGGGTGCATCTACACATGCAAGAGCTGTTGGGTGAGTTTATAGCAAATCTTATCCCACATCCTCACATGTGTAGACACCTGCCTGTGGTGGGTTTGCATTGCAGTAATTGACTCTAGAGTAAACCCACCCCAGGTGGGCATCTACACATGTGGGGTGAGAAAGCAGATTTGTTGCTCCTGGCAGCAGTTTGGTCCTGCCCTCTCTGGCCCTGTACCAGCCCCTGAAGCAGCCAGGGGGAGCTCTAGGCTCCCCTTGGGTACTAGCCCAGGGGCTGGCAGGGAACATGGGGCCAGGAGACTGCTATCTCCTGGTGGGGGTTGGGAGATTGCTCCCTGTACTTGGGAGCTGCCTGCTGTCAGGGTGCCAGGTGCCAGGTGGGGACAATGTCCTTCTGCCCCAGCAGCAGGGAGCTCCTGGCCCCTGATTGGGGTCAGGAGGCTTGGAAAGAGCTGTAGCGGGGTCCACTGCTAGCTGCCTTACTGGCAGATCAGGGCAGGGGGCTGGGATCTACACCCACAGCTCTTCCCAAGCCCCACACCTCAATCACCCAGTCAGGACACAGGGCTGGGACCTGTCCCTGACCAATATAGTTCTCAGCCAGCTCTGGGCTGCATGGGCGGTCCCTGGCTAGCTCCAGGCTGCACATCCAGACTTTTCCATGCAACCTGGGGCTGGCCAGGAACTGTTCTGGTCAGGAGCAGGTCCCAGCCAGGCTGGGAGATTGTTCCCAGCCCCCACTCCGTGATTGCAGTTGCAGAGTGGGGGCTGGGAACTCCCTGCTTCTAGGGCAGGAGGACCTTGTCCCCACCCTGGCTCCAGTGGCGGAGCCTGCCCTGGTAGTAGGCAGCTCCTGGAGGCAGGGAGAAATCTCCCACCCCCTATTGCCTGGCTGACCAGAAGCATGTTTGCTCCCAATCAGCCATCCATATATGCCGTACTGCGCATGAACTAATCGCAAGTAAATTTGCTACTTGTATTTACAGGTAGTAAATTTACTCATGATCAGAGCAAATTACTGTGCTGTAAGAGTCTGAATGTGTAGATGGTGATGCTTACTGCACAGTAATTTGCTCTAATCATGAGTAAAGCATCTCGTGTAGATGTGCCCACAGTATTGTTCCATACAGAATCTGGGGAGGAAATTCCTTGGTGATCCTCATGATTATCATCTTATGACCTGATGAATAAAATCTAACTACTTTTATCTTAGCATGCATGCATCTTATCATACAAATGTTGCGCCCAGTGAGTTTAAAGCTCTAAGTGCCCTGCATGAGATCAAAAGAAAAAAGCATAGCATGTTTATGGCCTGATCTAGCAAATGGTCTGTGCTCATAGAGTTCCTATAACCTTAAAGGATGACTGCTGCATAGAGCTTTTGAAGGACTAGCCTCATGCAGTATAAAATTACTGAGAATTTTCTCTAAAATAACAAATGTGGCTGTTTAAATTTAGCCATTTTGGAACTTGCCCTTGCAAATGGGTTGCATGTAGAAGGCAAATGGGACATTGATGCAAAGTGCATTCACAGGTTTAGGATCAGATTCAGTGCTTACTGTTAAAACATTAGACTTGCTGTTTCATAAATTAACTGTTCTCTTTCTCTCTGTATTTACTTTCCCAGATGTTCCAGCCTATCATTTTACTTATTCTCATCCTTGTATTATTTTCATCTCTTTCTTACACAACAATATTTAAACTTGTCTTCCTCTTTACACTATTTTTTGTACTGTAAACCTTTCATCATTTACTGTTCATTGTAGTATTATTTTCAGTTTGTTTATTTTGTTCACCCTCCAAGATCAGAGATATAGTTTCTGTAATAGCCACTGCTGTAAAAACACTGAAGACTACTTGTTTGCAGAAAAACCAAACCAAACCAAACCAAACCAAACCAAACCAAACCAAAAAAGCAAAACCAAACCAAAAAAAGCCACCCAACTGAATAAGAATTCTTCTCACCAAGATATTCCAGGTAAGCTAGTAGAAAGTAGATTTTTTTTCTGGTTTTATATTTTGGAATAAAAATGTTATTGAGAAATTAAACCAATATATCTAATCTTTATTAGATCTTATGGAAATAGAAGCAAAACCGAATTGCTAGGGTCACTTTACATTTTCCCCTAAAAAATTTGGTTCATAAACACAAATGAGCATCTAAGCTAACCTTAATATGTATTCTGTGATTGTACTACACTGCTTTTGTGCAGGTTGTATAGTTTTGCAACTATAGGACAGTGGAGTTTCACAGCACTCTGTAATACGTGTTTGATACGCAAATACTGCTAGCACTAGTAGGAACAGTGATTCTCCGCCAAGGTTCTGTGGCACCCCAGAGTGCCTTGAGACCCTTTCAAGGGTGCTACATGGTGCCACACAGTGTTAGTGCTGTCAGGTGTGCAGACATGATTCACAAGATAAACCCAGAGTTTTCGAATAGGAATCTATAATATTAAAACATTCTGACCTGTTGTGGTCTCTCTTGAGTTTTTTGCAACCGAAGAATTGCTCTATTATTTTTCTGTAGTTGAAAAAAGAGTGAAAACTAAGAACTGGCATTTTGCAAAGGGGACCTTGAATCTATCGAGGGATGCCTTGAGTCTAAAAAAATTGAGAACCACTGTCCATGTCTACATGAGATGCTGACTGCACGGTCGTTACTGCGCAGTTGTTTTGTACTTGTTTATACAAATACAAAATGACTGCTCAGTAACCCCAGTTACTGCTCTGTAGCACCAATGAACACCTTTTTGTGACACTACTGCGCAGTAGCCTAATGCTACTGTGCAGTAGCGTTGTGTCACGGTTGTTGCCACATGACACTACTGCACAGTAGTAGCAGGCTACTGCGCAGTCAGTCTCTCATGTAGATACAGCCACTGAGTAGGAATTTTGCATTTAGTCTATCACACTTGTATGGACCTGAGAAGAGAGAAACACTTTTGGCACCCATTAAAACTACTCAAGGTAGTGGGTGCCCAGCTTTTTTCAGGAACAGCCTTTTTATGTGATATTTGTACCCTGTTACTGTGGTGGTATTGTGGAGCCATGGGGTGAGTTAAAATTAGGATGATGCAAAATAATACAATTTTTTTAAAAACTTGGCTAAATCAGTAGTGGGTCTGTGGAAGGTTCCTCTGCCCTATGCCAGTGATTCTCTAGTGAACGCCCATCAGCCTTATCCTGTTGTGCCTTTTCTCTTGGTCATTGACCCTTGCCCTTTGCTGCTTACCTTTTCTGCAAACTTGCTGCTGGCTCACTTCACTGTGGCTTGACTTTTCAATATGACATACTTTCCCAGTTCTAGGATTAAGGATAAAATCAGGAACTGGTGGCCAGTGGAACTGAGTCACAAGAGGAGGACATACCAAAGTATGAAAGAACTTTCCTGCAAGAGCCCTTATCATACACATGTACAACAATAACAAAGTATAACAAAGCCCATTTCAATCAAAACTCCTAACCTAATCTAATCTAGAAATGTACTCTTAATTATGGAGATACTTTTTGCCATTGCTTTTTAAGGTTGTGGACACACTTAGATTATTTAAATACAATTCAAACCACAAGTTTCCAGACCTACAAGCCAATTTAGAGTCATTTAAACCTCCTAGAACATATAAAAATATACCTGGATAATTTGGTATTATTTTGAGCCACTTCTATGTGAACCAGTTCAGTATTATGTGCAGATGCCAAACTTCCCATGACCGGTGTCTGGTCAGTACTCTGAGTATCCCACACTGCAATGCTCTTCAGAACCCTCCTTTGCCCCCCTAAAGCCTAATTCCCTGCAAGGCAACTGGTTGATCTAGAAATAGTTGCCCTTGATTCTGGGCAACAATAACAGTTAATGGGCCAGTTCATATTGACTAAACATGGAATGGACAGTCATTCTGTGGTATTAAATGCTCATTGTGCAGTGGCTCACTTTTTCTCACTAGCAATTGATTGCTGTTACCATTAAAGATGCACCCACTCACCTTCCCTCACTGTGTGTCTGTGGAGGTGAATCAAAATTAAGTGTCTTCCTAGGGAAAGTCATTTTAAAGGTGCAGCATGAGACAGAGATCTTGGGTAGCTCCTGGAATACCCAATCACCCTTGAAATGTAGAAGTAAGGGTCCAGAAGGCCCTACCCAGTCCAGCCAATTGGGGTCTTCCTTCTGTACAAAGGAAATCCTGGGGAAACCCCAGGCGCTGGCCACTGTGAGGCATGCTGGGGTGGGTACTCACTTCCACCCCCTGGGGCAGTTTGACAGTACTGCAATGTCTGCAAGGTGACCATTTTACTTGAAACCCCTGGTAGTGTACATATGGCCATCTCTGAACTATGACAGTTGTAAACTGGTCCCCAGTCAGTGACATTCTTGCAATAGTTCAAGTTGTTATGTGTGTTCCCATCCTAAGTTATTGAGAGGTCTGTAGATTCTCTGGAATGTGCACCAGGGAAGGATATAGTTGCATGGACAACTCAGGTTCTTTGGCCCAAGAAAATATTTTATCAAGGGTTGCTGGTTCTGGAGATGCTCTTCTTCTCTACCCCCAGTTGAGGAAAACATCATTTTCAAACGGACAGTCACTTAGGACTTGGAATATTTTATTTTTTATTTTGGCCTAGGAATATCATTCTAAAGGGTCCCCTTGCTTTTTCTCTGTTAACTTTCTGAGAAACATTTTTTCTCATGTTTGCAGTTACAAAAACCTATCCAGGCTGAACCTTGTGCAAAAGGAATTTAGCACAAAGGGCTTTCTTTTTGTTTTAAATTTCATATTTTGCATTAGGGGAAATCATCTGTCTGTTTTAAGTATTACTGACTTAATCCCATAAACAAATTCCAATTTAAATTTGAATCGGTCTCTGAAATTCTGAGCAACTGGACTATTGTAACGTATGGCTACCTACATCTCTTATTTAACAAGGATGTCAGACAGGTATAGAGGGCCTGATTCTAAACTCTTCTTAGATGTCATTGGTGTGAAAGCAAAATCTGGTTTAGGAAATCATTACCTTAACTATGAATTTTCTTGATTGGTGTATATTTCATGTTCCTGTTAAGTTTTATATCACAGTACTCCAAAATACTATATATCCTAGTAAACAATGTGCCAGGGTTTCTATACTATTATTATGCTTACAAAAAACCCCCAATGTATTAGTGTCCTTACTACCAAAGTTAAGTTCACACAGTTCCATTGAATGTGCTTCAGAAGTGATTTGGAAATGATTTGCTCCTTTAGAATTCAGGAATAGTGAGGGATCTAATGATACCTTGAAATTGCAAACCACTGAATCAAGGGATGGGAATGCTCTCCATATCCAGAGAATTTATGGCTCCATCAATTTCTCTTGATGCTTTCCCTGGCTTGCCAGTATTGTGCCAATTTTGTTTTGAACTGAGATTAGATCATTTAATGCTCTAACTCAATTAGGGACTAGGAAACAAATGTATGTTCAGATTCTGTAAAGTACTGCTTTATGCCAGCTAAGGACCTGGCCTATAGAACTGAATATCATCAACATAACATATGGTAATCCAAATCATCTAACGATCTTTCCAGAGGCCGTGTGTGTGTGCGTGCACGCGCGCGCGCGCGCGCGTGTGTGTGTGTGTGTGTGTGTAACAAAGGGGATGATGAGGTGGAACTCTGAAGGACTTTGCACATAGAAGTCTTTAAGAAGAACAAGCAGATGTCCGTTGCATGTTTCTGCCCCCGCTCCCCCCAGGAAGAATGAATGGTACACTGATCTTGTATACTCCATGTGTCAGCAGATAAGTTTATAGCTCCCCTCCCCCCCCATTACTTACTTCACTATCAAAGCTAATGTCCAACCAAAGAAGTGCAGTCTCCATGTCATGCCCAAGTCTAATTCTAGACTGGAGGGAGACCAAGAAGCTAGAAGTTTAGGTTAGATATTAGGAAAGTCTTAGATTTCATAGACATTAGCGATGGAAGCATTTCTCACTAGTAGGGTAGTAAAGTACTAGAACAGGTTATCTGGAGAGGTTGTGGAGTCTCCATCTTTAGAGGTTTTTAACAGCTGGGTAGACAAAGTCTCTGTTGGGATGATCTAGTTGGGGATGGTCCTGTATGAGTAAGGGGTTGGATTAGATGACCTCCTGAGGTCCCTTCCAGCGTTCATTTTCTATGATTCTGTGATTCTTCATTGCAACATTTTTAGGCCATTTTCTAACCTTACACAAATTTCCACCAGAGCAGATTCTGGATATATGTTTCTTTTAATACAACCAGGGCATATCTACACGTGTGCGTTTGCTGTGCAGTAACCAAAATTACTGCACAGTACTGGCTTGTGACTACATATGCATGCCCATACTACACAGTAAATATGGTGACTTATGCCTACTTGAGCGTAAATTTGATACCTGCATTATGCAAGTGTCAAAATTATGCCCGATTAGTTACTGCGCCATAACGCATGTGTAGATGCCTTACTGCGCAGTTACATTGTGTGTGTGGACTGACTTGGGACTAACTTCAGTCCCAAGTCAGTCCACATGCAGTGTTAATGCGCTTCAATGCCTGCTCTTGTAGATGCCGGTCTATTCCTGCTTACTGCGCAGTATTTTACTGTGAAGTAAATTTAAGCTGAAGTAAATGTACATGTAGACATGTCCCCAGAGAATCTTGATGAAGTCTGTTTTTGTTTAGGAGTCATATCTTTTAAGACCTTTGAATTATAAACAACCGTAATGTTTCCTAAATTCTTGCTACTAAGTTACTTAGGTGTATGAAAAAGAAGCGTTGCCTTGAAGAAGCATCTTCAGGAACAGGGATATATCTTTCATCTGAAAATATCTGTGCCCCCAGCTCTAGGTTACAGCTATAACAAGATAAGTGTCTGCTGACACATGTCACCAATGCTTCAGAATCAGAACTAGGAGAAAGCAGAAGCCATGATGCAGAAATACACCCAGCAGTTGGAAAATATAAAATTGCCAAAAGCATGACT